ATAGTATGGGAGCTGTCTTCAATATTGCCTTGATTGTTTTTTAAAAGAAATAGAGTATTTATTAGATTGTCATGCCCTTAAACTCCTGTAACTCAAGATTAAAAGTTCTGCACAGTCTCAAGGAACATCATGAGGTGTGAGGGGTTGTATGAAAATTTATGAATGCCCCATCATGTTTGAGCTCTGTCATATTCATTTAAACAGAGTAAAGCCAATGTATTGTTATAAATACACTCAAAGGGGAGGTTCTTTATAAAGAATTAATTTTTAAAGATGTGCATTATGCTAGATTTGAATGAGATCTCGATCTGGATTTGAATTAAATCTTCACTCTTAGACCAGGACTTCCCAATCAAATTTCAATTCTTATTTTCAACATTCTTGCAAGTATCTGTGTCTCGCATAGGGTTTGGGATGGGAGACACAATCTGAGGGCGTCTCATCTGAGTGCTCCTGTCTCAGAACTGCAGCTCCATCCTCACCAAATCCCCACTGCTTGATAAAATCCTGATACTCTTTTTTTATTAATTAATCTCATCAAAACTATTTCTCTCTGACTTTTTTATAGCATGTTGCTCCAAGATCTACCAAGACCTACTCTCCAAGAGTACAATAGCACATACATTTTTGCTGCAGAAGTGACCATTTTAAGAGACTTCTTTTGTCTGCTCATCTGTGCTTTTGATTTATCACACCCCTCAGTCACACAAATTCATTGAAATAAACACTGAGTTCAGCAGAAAAAACCTCAAAACTAAAACACCAAAGAGCAAAGTAATTCCTTATCTCACTCCACAGCATGGCACACAGAAGGTGCAGGGAACTGTAGCCCAAGGCAGCAACCAGCAGTTGAAAATAGGATGCAATATTGAAAACAAACCTATAATAGGGAGACAAAATGTATGCAAAGTTGTACTATTAAAAAGAAATATTTTTAAATACTTGGCTGGGAGAGTTTTACTGCAAGACAGGAATCCACAGGAAATGTGCTAATTTACTCCTCCAGCATTTTGGGCCTAGCATAAATTTCTTTCTTATGAAAATTTATACAGCACCAGGCCAAAGGATGAACTTTCATTTTGTTTCTCAGTAGATTGGTCTGAAGGTTTTCCTTAGAGAATAAAAAAGAAAATAGCAGCAAACTCGCCCAAGACAATTTATCAGGAAGAGTCCAACAAAATGGACTCTTATAAAACAATTTAAACAGAACAGGTCTGAGGTTGCACTCGTGTATAGCCCAGCTGTTAGCATTACCAGAGGTCAAACTTAGTTTGTTTTCAGCATGTTTCTTTGCACAGATATTAGTCTTTGTCTTTAATTTTGGCTATGTCTCTATTTTCCTAGTTCAGGTTAATCTAACACACCATCTGTCTTACTGTTTCTTTAAAAAACCTCAACAACCAACATTTGCAAGTCATGGTATTTGAAATACTTTTCTTTGGGTCAGTTTGTCAAATTGCTTCAGATTAAATAAAAAAAAATCACAGTCTGCTGTGTTTTCAAAAGTGTAAATTTATTTATATAGAATATCTGTTATTTTGGGGTAAAACCACCAAGTCATATACTTAACCCCTGTAAGAAATTATAGATCTACAGAAATGACACTGGTTTCTGTTCTCTGAGGGCCTGGCACAGAAGGGTGGTTTCATGCTCCAGAATATTTTAGATATTTCTTTTACTAAAAGCCACAGTTTTCAGATGATCAGAGTGGGAAACAGGGTGTTTTTATGAACATACATAATGGGGGTTATAATGTTATATAACATTATAATGAGGCGTTATTTATTCAAAACAAATGAATTTATTATGGATTTTTTGTCCCTCTTGAAGTGACTTAATCTTACTTCTGCTGTTATTTTTCAGGTGATATTGTGTCTAGCCCTTCAGATCCTTAAGATCAGACTTCAGGCTAGGCTCAAAAAGAAAAGTGGATTTAAGGCACAGTGTATAGGTCCCATGCTGTAGGCCCCAAGGTGAAAGTCTGCTGTGCCTGTGACCAGAACTCACTGTGAGGGGCCTCACCATCTATTTTATGCAGTTCTCCAGCTCTTCCCATGTATTACATGAAACCAAGGTTTACCACAACATAGTCCACAAGTGGTGCATGTGGTGCCCAAACTAGACAACACTGAATTCTGCAGAGGGCTGTATCTGACACTTTCTCCAGCTTAGGCAACCTTGTGTTATGAAGATTCAGTCTGAAATAGATTACTGTGCTTTTACAAGGCTTTTTTTTTCTCTTAAAAAACAAAAATATCTTTTTTTTTTTCCTTTCCCCAACAGTGTTTAGAGCAGTGTACAGATAGCCAGAGTTTTGAGATAATGTACCTTCTCATGTCTCATTGCAATATGTCCCTGTGGGTATTTCTCATATATGAATAGGAGTAAATAAAAATGTACACTGACTATTCTCCTTGTCAAAGCTGGACCACAATACATCCAGGAATGAAAAATTCACTGGCTCAGAGACAGTGCCTGGTGTTGGCTGGACTTTGGCCAATTCTTGTCTCTCTCTATAGCTCTGATTTATTAAGTTTGGGAAGGGGACAATAAGCTACCTCTATAATAAGAAAGGTTCCTTTAAAAGCTGGAAACTGACCTCAGCTCGTGTAGTTGAGGATATGTGTTTATGTTTTTGTAGAAAATGATGTGTGTTTAAATTTTTGTGCACAAACCCTGCATCTTCTCTCTGTTGCAGAATTTATAGGGATGCAGTCAAGCTCTGCTCTGCATGTAACTCCTACTGCTGTCAGTGGTCATCTTTTACTGGTATCTAAAATTGGATTTGGGCTTGTTGAAATGTAAGATTTCCTGATAAGATTTTCCCAATCTCTCTTTTTTTTAGAAAGCATTATTAAAAAAGACCAAAATCCTGAATGCTTCAATTTTTTACAACCGAAATAGAATGGTGCAAATTAGCATCATGTTTTTCCTGGATATTGAACTTACCAAAGCTTTAAAGAAAAAATGTTTAGTAGAATATATACATATAATTTTATTACAAGCCACATAAAAATCAACAGAAGTTGGGCCAAATGTTTAAAACATGAACTCTTTAATAACTTTAATTATGTTTTAATATCATTTTCTGCTTAGGAGTGAATAAAAAGTCCCCATAAATCCCATATGTAGAATTTTTTTTTATTAACACTATAAAATTCAGTCCCATAATATTTTCTCATGTTTAAAATTAAATTAGTATTTTATTTAGTTTCAAAATATGAGAAAAATAAAGCATTTCTAAATAGAGTAACTTTATGAAACTATAGAATTTTATTTAATAGACCATATTCCATTAAAAAAACCCTATCAAATACTTTTGCAGTCTTTAATAACAAATTCAGAACTGAGTCCTTCTCTTATTCAAAGATAAGATGGTGTTATGTTAGATCTGTGTTTGAAAGGATTGATGGTGTTACAAACGCTGTAAATGTAACCATGCACAGCTTCTCCACAGCTGAGTTTGTGTTAGGGGCTGCTGACTTTGTATTTCTGTTAAAATAGTGTGTTAAAACTGAATAAAATTAAAATTAATTTTATATTAAATAAAATTAATTTTATATTAAATAAAATAAAATATTTATATTAAATATAATAAAATTAAATAAAATTAGTAATTTTGTTGCTATATGTTTCATGAACAAGGTCCTGCCTATATCCCCATCCTTCTTTCTATGTGGATATAAAGTGCTGGAAGATCTACCAGGAGCCTAAGACAGATCTTAATTGACCCTTTAATTTTAAGTGAATGTTCAATAAAAGACATTTTTTCCCCTTCTCTTTATTGAGCTTTTTAAATTACTAGACAGATATTAGAAAGTTGCAGTTCTTTCAAGAGAAATTGCTGCTGAAATCAAATTGCAAAACAGGGTTTAGTTCCACAGAGAGCAGAAAAGAACATCAGATGTAAGTTTAAAAACAATTGTTCATATGTATGAGAATTACATTTCAAGTATATGGAAATTTTTTTTTCCTAAAAATATCCCTACCAAATTGATACAGAGGAAATTATTTTACCAAAAAGTTGGTTCAATTACTCATTTTCTCTGTGGTCCAACAATTCTTACATGAATTGTTAATCATTCCTGAAAACTTACAAGTACTACAGGCAAGCCATCAGTTTTCAGATAAAAGAAGCAGCTGTTGCTGCAGAAATCTGGTTTTACTACACTTCAGCAGAACAGTACACGAAGTTTCAATAATGGAAGCAATGCAGGAATTATAAAGATTTTGGGTTAGAGGCATATTGCCTTTCCCAGAATCACCCAACAATTCCAGTTCAATATGATTTGCAAACATAAAAGCAGGTCTATAAATGTCTCTTTTGAGTATTTAATAAAATGGACACTTTTCAAAGTTTTCCAAGACATTGCAGTTGACAAGGGAATCAAACAAGTTTGTGTTGAATCTTATATTAAGCCACTAGCAATAAACCAATACAATTTTACAGTGATTTTTCCTATGACTGCATTAAAATTGTATTGTAATTCCCAAGTGTCTGGATAAAATTACTTATTTTTTACCATTCAATCAGCAGTAAATTATCTAAGCAGATGGAAATACTTTAATCTCTTCTTATTGTGTTTGTCTCATGCTGGGTACAACATATGCTGAAATCAAAAGCTCAACAGTCGGGTCAAAATTTTGGTGTTTAAAGAAAACAACATAAAGGAGTCAAAGGCCATTCACCAAGACCTTTGCTTCCCAAGAGCCCCAAAAGCCAGAGTGTCCTCCTGCAGTCTTAATTTAAGAAATATTAATATGTATTTGAGTCACAGGTTCTTTTGAACAGTTTTCCAGCTGAAGAATCATTTACCTATTCCAATCATGCAGCAACATGAAGAATGCTAGAAAATAAGTTAACCAAGAAACATTATGATCTAGGCAGAATCAATACCTACTAACCAAACAGGGGCTCTCCTTTGAAGAAATAGAGGAAGAAAAAAGCTCTGCAGATGTGATTCTTTGTCTGTGTTTTCTTTTAAAGCAGGTTCAGAGGAGCTGACACAACAGCCTGTCCCCCAAGAAGAGGGTACCACTGTTCCCTCTGCTCTAAACCCCTGCTATGGGAATTGCTGCCCATCATGTGCCATGCAATGGCCAAAACAGGTAAGCACCTGCTCCCAGTAGTGGAAATCCATCCTTGCTCAAAAGAAAACAAACAATGTCTGTGACACCCTGCTTAGACAGTTTGTGTCATCGTTTTCTTGATGAATCCAGAAAAATAAGTTAGGAAGTGTGAGCTTCTGTAATTCACAGACTGGGATATATGTGACAGGGAAGTTTTCAACAGAAAATTTTTTATGTGGACATGTAATCTTCTATAAATGTAACAAGCTGGAATTTAGAAATTTGATTGCTTCCTTTGTTTTTGGTTTTTTGGTTTTTTGTTTTTTGTTTTTGTTTGTTTTGGTTTTGTTTTGTTTTATTTTGTTTTGCTTTTTGATTTTTTCCCCAAATATCTTTCTGGTGTAAAGAGAGAAGTTTTAATGGAAAGTACAAAGAAAGTGGATCCAGTCAGCAGTTGAGCCAAGCTCTCACATACAAAGGCATTTTATCCTGTGCCTTGCACAGCCCACACTGGTTTAGCTTTTGAATCCTTCTCTTGCTCTTCCTCTAGAGCAGGAAATAAGCAATAATTCTCACAGATGATCCTCTTCAGAAGACAACTCTGATGTACACTGTTAACTTAGTCTAGGACAACTTTAATGTTCACTCTGTACAAGAACAGTTATGGAACAATCTGTCTTATATACAAAGCACTTGCTCTTTGCCACTTTCTGTGGTTCATTTTCATCAGCTAAAGTGATAGATTAATGATGTAGCAACACTCCCTCTGCAGGGACCTGACTGAGGATTTTCTCTGTCCTGAGCTGGTGCCCTAGACAACAGACACTTCTGATCCTGTCAAGGGGGGCACAGGGGGAGTAGTGACAGAGAACAAAAGAAATCAGTCAGTTTATGCTTTGAAGTAAAAGAAGGAAAGCATTAAAACCCCTGAAAATTCCTAAAGGATAAAAAAAATTCATATAATATTTGTTCAGGAAATTAGCTGTGCAATGAATTACATACATATAATTTGAGTGAACCCTTTTTACTTTATTAGTATCTTATTGTACTTGAACATGATATTATTCCAATATTTGTCTTTTTAAACCAGTCTTTACATATATTGTAAAGGTAAGATGATTTCATTGTACTTAGTACTTCTTTATTTAAGACATCAGAAGCTGCCATTTATTATCTTTAATTTTACATGACGTCTATTATTTCACCACAGCCAGGAGTTACTTGCTATCAATGATTTCACACACAGCAAATCCTGCTGCAGACTCTTGGCTTCTCAGTGCAGCCTGAGGAAGATACCAAGCTTTCAGATGAGCTCAGCTGTCATGAATTTCCACCTTTTCTGCTCAAGTTTCAATTGTGTCTCTTCTTTTATCATATTCATAAGATTTAAAGGATACTTAGGGCAATGACATGTATGTTTATATGTCATTGGTATATTTGACATTTAAAGTTGTTCATAATGTTTTTCAATCTGTTTCATATACTCAGTCTGCACAATGTCTAATGCAGCTATTTTTTTTTTACCCCCTCCTTTACTTATTCCAACTGCTGTAGTAATGTCACCTCTAAACCAGGATAACTCAAGGAAAGAATCTTTCTTAAAAACAGCACTAAATAATTTTAGGTTTGGATATGTATGGTGATATTCCTGCAGGCACTTTCCACAAGTGTAGTGTTAAATCTGTCATCCAAGCTGGTGCTTGTACTACTGATCATTTCCTACAGGTGGATAAGACCAGATTTGTTTCATGTCAGTATTATGCTAGAAACCAGAGCTAGCTCGTGCTCGAGTCCTTATGCACATCCTCTGTGCCTCTCTGTCCCATAGGCACTACTGTCATCCAGAACCTCTCAGGATCAGGGGACAGACAACCTCTGTCCTCAGGGTTATCTGAGATCTCCCACCCTCCTGATGGGAAGTGCCCATTGCTGTGACACTGCATCCACAGCCACACCATCCTTGCAGGTCAGTTCTGCAGCTCCGCCCCTCACAGATGAAGTGTGATCTCAAAACCTTGTTTCTGTGATTTTTTGCTGAGCACATCTTTATTTTTTAACTTTTGGTATAAGCCATCAGTCTGATGTAGCTTTCATATTTATGTTCATGCAAGAACACCAACTGAACTCCCATCCTCATGCACTGAGACATTGCACTGACTGTGTTGTTGCATTTTCTATAGCATAACTCAATCTTTGAGTTTCATAATCTTTCTGATGTGAGCAGAGTTTGTGTAATATAAGCCATATTTGTCTCAAATATGTATTATTTAAGGTGGGAAGCAGAGAAGTGTTTTTGTCTAGTCCAAACTCCTGCATAACATGGGCTGTATAATTTCAACCCATAATTTTGTCAGTGTTTTAAGCCAAGTCCTTTTAGGAGAATAATAGAAGCTTCTTTGTCTTAAGATTGCCAGGAAATGTAGACAGTTCCTAACCCCCAGAACTGCCAAGGAAATGTGTGTACATTAAATCTTTATTTTAGTATTGGCTAGTGCTTGCCTAAGAATAAAATATACAAGGCATAATTAAAACCTGCTGGATTTCTTCTACTGCCCATGTCCTCAATAAAACAAAATAATCAAAGCTGTGGCACATTCAAAAAAGGCTTGGTTTGTCCTAGAAAAAAAATTCTTGTTAGTTTTCTCCAGGAAGCTAAAGATTAAAAAAATATACTGTGCCTCAGCAGTAAATCTGTTTAATAAACAGCCTCTCACCAGAATAAACTCTGTTTAAAATTGTTGCTATTTTTATTTTATTATGCAAGAGGAATTACATGGAAAAGCTAAGAATAGATTGAAGACAAAAGCCTGAGCTGATATGAATGTTTTCTTTGAAAAGTTTAATGGCCTGGTTTGTTAGGATTTTTTACAATACAAAAATCTCAGTAGCTAATGTCCTTATATTTATTTTCTCCTGTTCATTTCTTTCTTTGTATCACCAAATTTGATATTATATTACACTGTACACTATATTACACTGTATTTGATATTATATTACACTGTACACTATATTACACTGTATTTCCTTAGTGATTTGAGGCCTGGTGACTGGAGCTGAATGAATAATATTTGACTGACTAAAAGCATGGCATATTCTAACCCCTAATTATTAATCATGTACAAAGAAAGTAAGGGCCACGTTAATAAATTTCATTAAGTGCAGGCTTCTTGGTCTGGGCAGTGGCATTTGCCTTTCACAAACCTGTAGATTTACAAAGGGCAAATCAGCATTTTTCTCTCACCCTAACTCACTGCTGCTGCCTCATTTAAGGAGTACAATCTCCAGCCATTTCATTTTGTATTTTTGAGGGCTTGTCTATAGTGGTGCATACTCCAGCCTGGAGCTAGAGGCAGCACAAAGAACAGTGGTATTTATTTTGCAGAAGGTGACTGGAACAGTGTCTGAAGCATGCATGAAGTGCAGGAAGAGCTCTAAATCCTCAGGTAAATTTATATACACGAAACGATGGCTGCTACTTCTGGTCCTGGCAAGGGCATCTTTCAGATATCCCATGTGCAACAGAGGCTTCAAGCCAGCTGGTCACCTAGTGGGCTGCAAAATGCATCAACATATAGCTGGAGATACTCTGAAAAGTGCTGAAAATGTTTAACAAGTCAAACCCAGTCATTTTTATATGAGTTTTTCTTTAAAAAATAAATTAGAAGAAAACTAAATCCGAACAAAAACTGGACAGACACGAACAAGAAGGATTAGCGTAGCTAAAAACCTCTCCAAGCTCCTGTAAAACTAAACTTAGTGCATTAGATAGTGGATCTCTTTTATATGAAAAACAGATGGGTGAAGAAAGTAGAAGAAAAGTCATGCTGCAGAGCACACAAAACATCATAAGGATAAAAAATATAATTTAATGAGGTAAAAAATGTCTTCAGTTGGCACTTTTTCTAGCACTCACATCACTGAACAGAAATTTTCAAGAGAGTCATTTTATTCTCATGCCTACTAACTGGCTTCCTAATTCTACTGTAGAAATCAGATCATGACTTGCAGCTTCACTCAGACTGCAGAGAAGTTGAAATCTAATGTCTATGCTTATAAGAAGATGGCCATACTATTAGCCCTATTAGCATTAGGGCTGGCAGCCTTTCAGTTTTAAATAATTATTATTTTGAAAATTTAAATATCTGAGTTGGATGCCATAAGTTTTGAGAAAAAGAAAGTTATTTTCTTTTCATTTTTTTTTCTTTTCTTTTTGTTCCCCCAGGAGCTAGAGCTCCTAAACACTAAAAAGCAGTTAAAACAAATAGGAAATAAACCCCAGAATCTCTGTGTGTGAGTGACAGTGATAAGGTGTTCTGCCCATCTAGAAATAGGTATTGAAATGTTACAGAAAAGCAGTGTTGTTCTAATTTTCTGGCTTTAAAAAATCCAAATGCTTTAGAAAAGATGCAAAGGATGCACAGTAGGAATAATTCCTTCAAGAAAGATTTCCTTTTAATCTTTCACATAAAAGAGATTGATTTAAACCTGAAAATGCAACTTTTCAAAGCCTTTCCAGTATCCTTATTCTAGCATTAATTATAACAGCTTTAGCTTTTCTTGGGATATGTATAAATTTCAAACTCTTTTGAATTTGGTAGGTAGATAATCTAAGACACGTTCTGTTACTCAAAGTTGGTGAAACAATGATTTGCTGCTTACACAGTACAGAAATGAAAGATGTTGCACACTAAGGAGAAATATTTATTGAATGTATCAAAGTCCATTAGGGCTAATTTATAAGGACTGGGCCATTAAAGAGCAAGAATGGAGATGGCACATAACAATATAAATCACAATTACATATAATGATTTGCATCACTGAGACATTCTGCTGCAGCTAATGGGATAAGCTAGGCTCTTTTCTTTTGAAGGAGACTAGTTTTAAATTTTTAGACTAGTAGAAAAATTATTTTAAAGACAGGGCTTAAATTGTTAATGCCCTCATGATCATTAATATCTAAAGAACTATTGTGAGATATAAAATCATTTCTATTTAGGATGTTTCCCAAATCTGCAAATTTATTGACAAACACTATAAAGGCTATCACTTAAAGAATAAGATTTAAAAAAAAAATTATAACAAACCAAATACCTACAAATGAACCAAAGAAAGATACTAAAATTCTTTGGATGAACTTTCTTAATCAAGTGTCCTTACAGAAATCTATTCTTGCTTCCCAAACAAATCCAATCAAGTAACATATTTATATTTAGTATATTACATTGGGTAAAGAAAAGTTTAGGAATGTTTTTAATTACGCTTATAAAGAAGGCTTTAAGAATATCTGATTTTTGATTCATTAAAAGAAAAAAAAAATAGAAAAGGACCTGAAGGACATTCTTTTGAAGTGTCCCTTTTGAAATGGCCTTTTATTCCAACAGAGGAAAAGCTGTAAAACTATTCAGCTCTGTCCTAAATTAAATGTTTAATTAAGAATGAACTGTTTTTCCTGTTCCCTCTTTCACCTCCCAACTCTCAGCAGAGACTCATCTATAGCACAAAATTTTATAGTGTGTATCTCTTTCCTAATAATGATTTGAGGAAAGGACAGAGCACAGCAAAGAAGGAGGGAAGAAGTGAGTTATCAAGCATTTCTTCTGGCTCTCAAGTATTCACAAGTAACCTGTGACTTCCCTTTAGTCTAGGAAAAGAATAAAGAAGGTAACCTTTTTATTTTTCACCACTTATATCTCACTGATGTCAACAAGGCCAAAGGATAAACTGCAGCCTTAAGGGAGCTGAATGTGACAGTTCTGGGATCATCTGGGTATTTGCTAGAGTGTGACAAACCAGTCAAGTTTCCCTTGAGGCATTGTCTGTCTCCTGTCATTCTTCTACCATGCCCAGGGCCTAAAGGCTGAGAGCTGAGCATCCCCTACAAAGGGCAACCTCAGCCAGCTCCTCTTGACAGGATTTTGATGCAGAACAGCAGCAGCAAGTCAGGCTGGGGAGATCTTCTACATCTGTTTTGAGCAATTAATCCCCTAGAGGTAACTCCACTCACATGAAACTAATTTTGCAGTGTTTTAGCTAGAATGTGATTGAGTGAGCAGACTGAAAATTGAAGAAACTTGGTATTTATTTTGTGAAAACAAATGAAGAGGCCATTAACCTTCCAATAGAAATTATTACTATATACGTTTTAAAACACTGCTCTTTTCTCTTCCCAGGCTTGGGAACTGTGCAACAGCTTTGGTGACAATCAAGATGATGCTGCTTGTCAACACTAAGCCAAAACAGATTATTGTGATGAGGGAATCAGAACTCTCCAAGCACAATCATGAAATCTGACCCAATAGACTCCTGCAGCCTCTCTTGCTATCAATCAGCTGTAGGTTAAATTCTCTCAGAGAAGAAAGCAATCAAAGTTTATTTCAGAGTGCATTGAGATAATTCCTAGACCTCACTGAAATAAATGAATGCCTCTCTCACAAATTAGTGTCTGTTTGGACTTCAATAAAGAATGCTGAAGTTCCTGTATTCATTGAATATCCGAGGTCACAAATAAAGAAGTCAATTCTATTTCTATAAATATATAAATTCATCAGATTGTATGTGCATACATTTTATAATTCCACTGCCAATATACAGACATGAATAACAGATTTAGTCTATATATATTTTGTTTTGTGTGTAGACACAGATACTTACCAACACAAAGTTATCTTGAAAATGATGGCATTGTGGGTATCTAAACTTCTGCTCTGAACTGGCATGAAATCAGTGTTAAAAATTAATATCTTTAATCATTGTTAGCTATGGATTATTTTTTATATTCCTAGTAATTGATTCTTATGTGGTATAGGCTGATCAAAATTGAAGTGTCTCACAGAATAAAGGCTGTTTTAAATAATGCTTTAGCAGTGTGCCTCTCCTCTGTGAGAAAACATGGGGGCAGAAGAGTTGGGGTATCTGAGCAAGTTCTTGTCCTGAAAGTGTACCTATAACAATTTTATTCTTTATCCACTTTTATCTCCACATCACAAAGAATTAGCATGTCATTAGCCACCTTTACTTATAGCTGACAGAAGTATAATCAAAGTATTATTAAAACCTTGGTAGCTGAGTAGAGGAGGAATTACAAGATAACAACTCCCAACTGTAGAATGAAAATATCTCCAGAGAAGTCACATATGCTACTGTTAGATACTTCATAAAGCACACAGGACAGAACTGTATGAAACTCACAGGAAATCAGGCTTTATAAAGCCTGCTGCTCCTGAAAGTGCTTCTCTTACTTCCTGTACAAAGGCTGTGTACAAAGAAATTCCCAGGGCTGACACTATTTAGCCGCAACTGAGTGTGAAAAAATCACAATAGTAGCTTGATCACCTACAATGTCTGAGGCCAAATTGTTTTGGAAACATTAATTTATTCTGCATTAGAAAATAATTGAAAATAGAAAAATATAAATTCAATATATTTGTGGTGTCCCTCCAACAAAGTAACTTTAAGGTGAACTCCATTCATTTATTTGGAGAGTTTTGTAGCACTGAGTGCAAGTAAACCTAGTGGGGTTAGGTGTTGGTAAACTTTCTAACAGATTGCCTAAGCAATAGACACAGCTTATCCCCTTTAGGGCCCATCCTCATTCACTTTGATATTGAAAATAATTTTTATTTTATAAAAATTTTTCCTCGGCAAACTTGCCATTCAAACTTGCCATTCAAACTTATATTTAACTCAAAGATAAAATTAACCTACTGCTACCAACAGGCTGGTTAACCATAGAATCGTAGAATGTTTTATGTTGGAAGAGACCATAAAATTAATTTCATTCCAGCCTTGCTGCCATGGGCAGGGACACCTTCCACTAGACCAGGTTGCTCAAAGGCCCATCCAATGTGGATTTGAACTCTAAAAGAGATTGCATCATCCCCAACTTCTCTGGGCAACTTTTTTCAGTGCATCACCACCCTCACAGTAAGGAAAATATTTAGTTAGCTCACTGTTTAAAATTAAATTGGTATTTTAAGAACGAAGGTTGTATCCTCTCATAATAAAGGAATTAACGAGTGCTGTGCAGAGATATATAAATGAGATCATTTGAAAGCTAAAGCCATGTAAATAATTATTGCTACTTTTCAAAATTTTTATGTGTAATAAGGAGATTGATATGAGCGATTTTGGGGATTTTTCCCTAGCTAAAAAACTGAGAGATCTGTAAATCATTGAATTTTAGAAATACCAGGACCTCTTGTTCTAAGCAGATATGTGTCATGAGCTCTTCTTCCCCATGGAGCTCTTCTATGACTAAATCTGATAGGAATTTGCTTTCAAAGTTATCTTTAAGATATCAGAGAATCTTTTTCTCAGCCCTCAAATCCAGGTAGATCATCAAGTCTGGGATAAGTTTTTATTATCGACAGAATCAAGTGATCTAATTCCCAAAGAGCTTTTGCAGTTGGGAAATCTTTTAAGAGATGCTTTATTCTTATGACAGGTCTCTATGTACCCAGAAATGTAGCAAACATTTATAGAATGCTTTGCTTGCAAGCAGATTGATTATTCTGACAGATGATAAAAAAGAAAAGAGCTATTGCTAGCTTTGTCATAAAATCATGGTTCTTTCCCCCTGCATCTGAAAGATCAGGCAGAAGATCTGAGCTTAACAAAATTTGGGTGGATTTGCTCTCAGATGGGCTTGGACTGGAACAGCCACTGCTCAGGGCTGAATTACTTAGCTTGAAGCAAGCACACCCAGGATGACTGTGATGGGATATTTAGTAATAAAAAATTAGTTGTTATGAATATATTCCCATTTAGAGAACACTGTTGTTAGAAAGGAACTCCATGAAGAAAATTCCATCTTAAAAATATGCAGATATTGTGAAAATGAAGGGACACACTGAAAATGCAGAGTTAAGAAACACATAATCAATGCCAAACACTGATAAGTAGGTTACACTGCTATCTAAAGAACTATTTTTATGTTTTACGGTTTTCCTCACTTGGAGCACATCATCTCACTGCATGCTAGCTCACACCAAATATTATCATGCAGTGAGCTGTGTGTCTTTTTGTGTCAGTGGACTGTAATGTCTCATAAAAATTAAAGCATGTTGAGCTCTCAGAAAAATAAAATACAATGAAAAAAGATGAATTGGATACAATCCAGCTTGGAGATTTATTCTATTTTTTATGTGAAAAAAGTGTATGTACTTTATGATCCCTCTGGGTACAACAGTTCTTAAACCTTGTGAATTTTAATATGACTGTATGAAACCATACAAATTTGAATAAGATTTATTAACAACATACACTTAAAATTATTGTCTACACATAGCAAAAATAAAAGCCCATCTCATCACTAGTTTCTTCTCACCCTGAACTTTCTCTTTAAATCTTATAAACCTGATAAAAGAAGCAAGGGGGATGTCACAAGTTGAAACTGTTTTTCTATCATCGGGTCAATAAGGTTTCATGTATTTTCAGAGAATGTTATGATTTACAGTTCTCACATTCCAGTCTGGTTATGAGTATAGCAAGGTCCCAGCGACTGTCACATCCATGAGTCACATTATTAATCCACTGCCAGACTCTGTTTGAACTGCTACACTTGTGAAGGAGCCAGCATGGAGCTCTTGGTTTTTGCAGACTGTCTGATAGAGCCTGAGTGAGTGAAAACTAAAGTTTCATAGACCTCAACACAATTCCAGCCAAACACAGCCACTGATATTCCCTTGGTATTTATCTCAACTCCTATTGACTTATTAGGTGTCTAAACAGCAGTAGCATGCAGGGATCAGAGCCACAGAACATGCATTTTGTAGAAATGCCAGAAAAATACTTGGAGATGATGGTGACAACAGAATATTTTTATTGCATAGCAGTGATAAATCTTACAGAATGTCCCACATTCAATAATACATTTTAGCAAATAGTTTTTTATATTCATATTACATTCTGTATCATCCAGCCATAGGTGTTGATAAAACTTTTACTAATGACAGCATGGATCTAGAGGCGCAGAATCTGATTACGTTCCTCTCATGCTGAAATCTTTACTGGGAAACTCACAGACACAAATATTAGTTTAATATTGGACAAGAGTGATCCTAAAACACATGAACACCATAACAGTATTAGAAGTACATTTTAAATTTTGGTGGTTTTTTTCCTTGAAAGACTGCTGAAGACTGATTCATGGACCAAGCCCTTTTGCATTGCAGAAAGAAAAAGCATCATAGTTGTTTCTCTGTATCAGAATTCTGACTTGAATTCAGTAACAAAACAATACATACAGTCACCAAGGGTTGTGAGAAAGTAATGACAAAATAATAACCAGAGCAAATTACTTATTTAGAAGCTTCTGGGTTTTTTTTTTTTTTTTCTGCCAAGGAAAAATATTTAAAAAAGGATTTTGAGGGAAATAACATGTATGTGACTCTTGAATCAAATGAAGGGCAAGATGGGGTAAAACATCAAAATTCACAAACTTTGAAAAGTGGGCAGTGAAAAGCAGCAATAAGACTGGAGAGGAAGCTGATGCTTCAATACAAATGATGAGATGACATGACATCCCTTAACATTAAGGAAAACTATTGTGACACTAAAGAAAGGAAGACCACAAGTACTGCAAACTGGATGTGGCAGTGCAAGAGCTCTCACAGCAGGTTTGGTGTGTAGGACTACATTTGGCCAAGGCCAGCAAAGGATATTTATTATAGAAGTGAAGACGATGAAAGCCTGGACAAAACCTCTAGCTGAACATGGATAGGAAAGGGAAATATCCTAGATTTGTTATATGGGAGGAACATGACTGCTTTGATATTGGTCAGATGAGCTGATCTGGTGTGCAAGTGACTTTGGCTAAGGCCAGGCATATCATCTCCCTGACTGCCACTATGACTGAGGAAAGGCAGCATGGAACATATGAAAATGGCAAAAAAAGAAAGATCAAGCAAAAAGAGGAACAAAAACTACAATTTGTACATTCAGATTATGCAGCTCAATTTCTATTTGAGGAAAAAAATATACAAAAAATACAGAGAGACAAAAAATCATAGGGTCATTAATGTTGGAAAATATTTATAAGACCATCAAGTCCAGTCATAAACTCAACACTATCAAGTACACAACTTAAACTAAGACTACTGAAAATAAATAATAAAGAAAGGAGTAGGCAAGAAAATGGATGCTCATCTCAGAAGACTGGGAAGACCAAGGTCCCACAAAAGACAAGGAAAACTAGACAGGATGATGAATGAGAAATATCTGCACTTACAGAGTAGGAGAAGGAGCAAGAGCGAGGTGAGTGCTTGTATTGAGAATTTGCTGTATCTTCTCTGCTTTCAGGTATAGACAGTCAGTGACAGGAGTGGGAGGCTCAAGGTGACTTAACTAAAATTGAAAATATGTTTTTGGTGTCCTAGTTGACTTTGGGGTTACAGTACTCAAAATCCAGTGTAGCTTAACTGAACTCCATTTGCATTCAGGTGTAATTCTTATCATTTGATCTGCAAAGTGTATGTCCACATGTGAGCTGATTACCCCACTCTCACAGTCAGTGAAGAAAAATTCATACCTGCAGGAAACAACTTTGGCTGATTTATCTTTGTCTCTCATATTTGGATGACATGAGCTGGGTTTTTATTCTTTTTCTTTCCCATCACTTCAAAAGAAATGTTGGGCAATTAGTTCCAGCTTCAATGTCTGTCATAGAGCTCTAAATTGTCTTCTTTTGGTCAACAGAATCACACATTTTAATGGTTATTTTTTAATGTTGTTATAATAGTCTCTTTGGTCCAAATCACTC